GAGGAGAGTGCCGGCTAGACGTAAGAGTGACCTTTCGCCGGAGTGACCTTTGGTGCGGGCACAGATGGGTCCCCGGATGGCTGAAGACGGAGCAGGAGCAAAACGGCTTGCGCGCCCAGGTTTGGTCCCCACGCGGCCCCCCCAAAAGCCGCGCCCCAAAGGTCACTCTTACCTAGGGTCACTCTTGCGTGTAGCCGAGAGCGGCTGATGCTGCGTCTGCCCTGTGGCGCTGCGCGCGCTGTGGTCGGGGCTCGTTTGCTCCCGCCTGGGGCCCCGCTGCTTCACCTCAGCGCTTGTGCAGGCTCAGGTGCTGTCCCGCTTGGGTGCGGTGCACGTCTTTCCTTCGCCAGATGGTCGTCAGAGGGGATGCCCGTTGAGAGAATACAATGCTGGTCTCGCTGAATGGGGGCGGAGCTCTCTTCTGACAGTTGCGCTCTCGCTGTCGCTGGGGTGCAGTCAATGGTGCCCTATGCCAGCAGGGGGGTCACGGGCACGCCCGCAAGGACGGCGCAGGCAAGCGCCGTGCTCGAGATAGCAGCAGCACGCTGACAGAGATGCCAGGGGAGGCTGAAGGACGAGGGGGGCAGGGGGGTGGATGTCGGACGAGGAGGGCTGCGGCTCGAGGACGAGCCCAGGCCGAAGCACTCGATGTAGCAAGCGCTCCAGCTGTCATGCCTGCTGGCCAGAGACCCAAACAGGCGCTCGTTGGTAACACCGTTCCTTCCACCACTGAACTGCTTCGCGTCGCTTGCAAGAGCCCCTCGACAGAGAGCGTGGACCACTTGATGAGGCGGAGCAATCGGAGAAGAGATGACGACGACGACGACGACGACGACGACGACGACGACGACGACGACGACGACGACGACGACGGCGGCGGCGGCGGCGACGACGACGACGACGACGACGGCGACAACGGCGACGACGACGACGACGACGACCACGACGACTGGTACGGTCGGACCGAGGTATAAGATTGAGGTCGGATCGGGGAGCGTACCCTGATGTTCTCCGTGTTTGTTGAAAGCTCTTGCGCATTCTGAGGAGGATGCCCCTGGATGTTCCGCGTGTTCTGGCCGGCGGAGGGTCCCACGTTCTTGAAGGATGCTCTTCTGTCCCAGGTCCGACTGTAATTTTTGCTACCGCCCCAGATCCTCAGAGGTCTCGGAGGCCTCCGGAGGCCCCCATGGACAGGGGCGCCCTCGAGGGCGCGAAGTTACTCGCGCTTCGCGCTTCGCGGTTCGGCTCCGATCCCTCCTCATGCTCCTCTTCTCCCCTGGGAGGCGGCGCGAGAGCGCGAAGTTGTTCGCACCTCGCGCCTCGCGCAGCGCGCAGCGCGCAGCTGGGAGCCCTTGATGCAGGCCCCCATGGGGGCCCCCGGTGGCCCGACGGGGGGCCAGGGCCATCCGAAGGCGTCCCCCTTGTGGAGCCTCGAGGGGTCGAGGGCGAGACCAGGCAACGGCCGCGGCTGCCTCCTCGGCATCGCCCGGGCGTGCGCATGCTTGCTCGGCGAGGAGCGTCGGGGTGGCCTCCTGGGGCCATCTGGCAATAGAAGAAACGCGCACGACACCGAAGAAGGCATGCACGGGGGGCGGACGTCTGCGGCAAGCCTCCCAAGTCCACTCCTCAGGAAAGCACACACACACACTTTTGATCCGCGGGTCGAGAGCGCACCTCTTCCGGTCGAAGCTAGGCGGGCCGCGCGAAGCTGGGAGTAGGCAGAGAAGGGGAGTGAGGAAGCGGCGGAGCCTCGGAGCGAGGCCGAGAGGAGGCACAGCCTCGGATGCAGGCGGTGCCGAAGCCGAAGTTACATACACACAACACACACCACACACCACACACACACACAACACACACAGCACACACAACACACACAACACACAACACACACACACACCACACACACAAGACACAACACACACAACACACACAACACACAACACACAACACACACACAACACACAACACAGACAACACACACAACACACACAACACACACACACAACACACACACACGAACCACACACACACAACACACACAACACACAACACACACACAAAAACACACACACACAAACACGCAGACACAGACACACACACACACACAAACACACACACACACACACACACACACACACACACACACACACACACACACACACACACACACACACACACACACACACACACACACACACACACACACACGCCCCCCACAGGTAGACCCCCCGCCCTTCGCGCGCGGTGTCTACACTCGAGGCCCTGCAGGTCGGGGTCTACATTTCGGGGTACTCATGTCTCGCGGGTGCCGACACTTCAGGGTGCGTCTGGTCGGGGTCTGCCTTTGAGCCCCTTTTGCGCGCGTCTGCACGTTGAGGCCCTTCCCGCGGGTCTACATTTGAGCGACGCAACAGAACGGGGTCGTCTTCGCCGACGCTGGCACGCAAGTTGCCCGCGTAAGGTCGCGCGTGAGCGCCGTTGTCTCCAATGTGGCGTGCCGCGATGGCGGCCCGCGTAATCAAGCCGCCGCGCAAGGTCGCTATGGCATCTCGCGTAGGACCCGTTTCCGATCGTCGCTCATTTGGGGGGCCGTTCGCGATTCGCCGACCCCCTCCTCCGTGCTGCCGTTCCTGCAGCCATGCAGTCGTGGCCCTGAAGAAGGAACCCTTTTCGTTGGGGAGGGGCTCCGTGTTCCTTAATTGTTTCGCAGCTTGCCTTGGATTTTCCTTAGGTTTTCGATACGAAATCGAAGTTCAGCTGATGGAAAATAGGGGCCTCGTTCCTTATTTATCGTTCCTTAGGTCCACGCCCCGACTGTGCTGTGGCACGTGTTCCGACACCGGCAGCGCCGGCGTTCGCGGGCGGCGGGGGGGCGCGCGCGCGCGGCGGAGCGAACGCCGAGCGCGCGGAGCGCGCGGGGCAGGCGGGAGTGCTGAGATCTGGCCGCGGCGGAGGAACGGGGACGAGGCACGACCTCCTGCTCCTGCTCCTCCTGCTCCTGCTCCTCCTGTTCCTCCTCCTCCTCCTCCTCCTCCTCCTGCTCCTCCTCCTCCTCCTCCTCCTCCTCCTCCTCCTCTTCCAGCGAGCTGTGGAAACGGGACTGCTGCGTCCACGTGCTGGTCCTGAGCTGGTTCGGATATCTGTCCCAACAGCCGTCTCGCGCGAGGCGAAGGCTCTGGCTTGCGCGACGGTCAACGTGCGCAAGCTTGAGCTCGAGACTGGGCTCCACAGGCGCAGCGGCTCCGAGCTCTGCGCGATGGCGTCTGCCTGGGGACACCTCACCCCACAGGAGGAGCTAGACTTCAAGTGCTGGAATACGGCTGGCAACATCGCTCGCCACAAACGCTGGTCAGCTACGTCGAGGAGCCTTCCATCTCCGCCGCCCGTCAACCGCGTCGCTTGGGCGGACACCTACGACACGGACTTCCCTGCGTGGGTTCCCGCTGCCGCCGCTGACACCATCGGCGAGAACAGACCTGCGGCCAGCAGCTTCGAGCCCCGCGTCGGCCCCACAGAGCCGGGTACCCGTTCCAGGTTGCCTGGGTCCTCCTGCCGTTGTGGCTCAAACCCGGCGCTCCCCAGCGAGGCGGCCCTCGATAGTATCTTCCACACATTCGAGAAACGGACCCTCGATAAGCTGGACGAAAAGCTTCTCGCGGGCTTCGAACTGTTGTCGGTCTCCAACGCCAAGCAGCTGCCCACCCTGTTCGCTACTTCGGTCAAGCCCGTCATGGAGTCAGGTCGCCAAGGAGATCATCGACATCCGCTCCTAGCTCGGCGCCGCGTACGACTCGCACACCCTGTCCCTCGACATCCGCGAGGTTGCATATGCAGTTCACGCAGGTGGAGCTGCTGCACGGCGTGCGGCAGATGAAGCTCACGGTCGCCTCCGTGCCGTTCGCCGAGCAGGTGACGAAGCACGCCGAGTGGTAGAACTTGTTCACACTGCTGCGGCTGACGTTCGCCTATCGGTAGCAGAAGCTCGCACTCATCCAACTGAGCTGAAGACGCAAGTCACCCAGCTGGGGCTGCGCGTCAACAGCCTGTATACAGAGTCCGGGACACAGTCGACCAGAGGCTGAAGCTCATCGAAGTGGACACCGAAGAGGTGCAGCAGCATATCGACTCCATCGAGAAGCGCGTCCAGTTCTTACAAGACCACGAGCAGTACCCTGACAACCGCGACGGCTCTCCCCATTGCGACCGCTACTTCGACACCCTGCTGACGCACGTCAAGCGCGATGACTGCTGCAACGACTTCATGAAGATCCTGAACTCGCTGCCCGAGTCGCATTCTGGCGGCTGGCGCTCTATTGACTGCCAGCCGCCTGCACCAGGTATCCACGGCACTGCCGTCACCGACTCGCCCAATCCGCTGACGCAGTCCGAGACCGCCGCGCTGCCCATGCCGTTCAAGACCCTCACCACGCCGCTTCCTGCGCGCCCACCGAGCTGAAGTTCGACCAGGCCGCCGATGCGGAGGCGACGCAGTCCGAGACCGACGAGCTGCTCACCCCGAGCGAGACCTACGAGCTGCAGCAGCATATCGCGCACGAGCTGGAACCCGACGAGATAGAGTTCAACTCAGAGCTCGAGCTTGTCGAGCCGACCAATGCGTGTTACGACGCCTCTGGCTTTTTGACAGCTGCTTCGCGCGCGTCAAGAAAGTCGACTGCCGCGACGACTTCACGAAGTTTCTGGACTCCATCGACCTGTGCATGCCGCAGCCTGAGCTGAAGGCTGCGCAGTCTGAGTTCGACGAGCTGCTCAGGCCGAGCGAGACCAACGAGCTGCAGCAACAGATCGCTCACGTGCTGGCGCACGATGAGCTGGAACTCGACGAGCTGCAGCTGCCGCCCGCGCGCGACGAGCTGGACGAGTTTGACGAGCACGCGCTGCAGTCTGAGTTCGGCCAGCTGTTCTCGCCGGGCGAGCTCGACGAGCTCAAGCTGCGTTTCGAGAGTAAGGAGCTCCTGCGCCCCCTTCACTTCTTCATTGCGGCCTGCGCCGTCTCCTTCGCAAGGTACTGCGCCCATATCAGCATCCGCTGAGGACTAGACGCGCGGCGACTGACAGGAGCGGGATCACCTGACCTCTTCTCGCGTCTTGTCCGCTTGCCCTCGTCTCGTTCCCCTCGGTGCACGTGCGTTCCCCCTCTTTCACTTTGTCCTCTTTGTATTCGCGCATTGTTGGACTCAGCAGCTGCAGCCGCGTCTTCGCGCGCGGGCGGATCGCCGCTGCATCGCAGCAGTATGGTTAAACGCGGAGCAGATCGATCACCCGCGCGTCGCTCTCATGCTAAGGATGGTGGAATTTTAACAGATGTCAAGGGAAATGCGTTGCTCCTGCCAGTCGCCAGCCAGGGAGAGGGATCGCGAATGCAGATTGGCTAAAGTGCATGCAGCAAGTGGTCAGTAATGCCAACAGCAAGCTGAAGCGGCCCAGATGGATTTCATGGCTGAAGATCTGAAGGCGGACCGCGCAGTGGAAGCAGTTCAGCAGGCTCAGACAGTTGCAGCAGATGCCTTTCGTGCTGCTCAGGATGCGCAGGCTGGATAGGGGCCTGCCAGTGGTTTCCGCGACGGCGCCAAGGCAGGGCAGTCAACGACCGTGTCTCCCCAGGGGCGATGACGCTTTGAAGATCGTGATTGGTGGGTCCCCAGTGGCTTCGAGTAAAGACGGGTTGATGCCGTACTTGGACAACATGTGTTCCATGGTAAATTGTGCTGTTATTTCTCGTCAGTGGTGTGCCTCGCAAGGGTCCATGCTGCCGTCTACATGCGGGATGATCGTGCTGCGTAGGCTCTGTTGGGAATGCATCGTGATCGCGTGGGCCGTGACGCGTTCGTTGGCGCTGGCGGTGGAAAAGGCGAAGTAGGTACCTGCCAGAGCGGCCGGCAATCCTGCCTTGCCAGGCCTGAAGTTTGCGATGAAGAAGCATCAGTCGATGGAGCAGAGGCAGATCACGTCCACACTGGTGAATATGGCAGTTGTATTGGCGCAGGCGGAGGGAAGGGGTCGCAAATCCAATGTCGCGTTTTCACGGAGGGAGATTCGGCTGCCAGATGCGATGGGGCAGCGCAAGCAGGTCGCGCACATCAATGCTGTCGGCGCCCCACCCTGAATGTCGCCAACTTCAACGCGGAGCTGCTGCAGTCGGATCTCAAGGATGACGCGACATGTCAGGAGAGAGTGGAGAAGAGCAGGGAGGATTTTAGAGCAATTCACGATCTCGCGGCAAAGAGATCATTCAGTCGTTGAGCGTGGTTTCGCCCAACGGTCGCGGGGTATCAGCTTGCAAGTTTGACGGGTTCGTGGAACAGATCTCGGAGGAGTGCGAGTGGGTTTTCTCGTTCCTTCAAGAAGTGTTTAAAGTTGATCAAAACCTACTTCCCCAAGCTCTTGTACTTGTTTTTTATAATCGCTTCTCCTTGGCTTCTACATAATCGTGACTGTGCCATCGTCATTCATAGACGTCGCCTCCTGCGCGCAAGCAGTACCAGAACATGTGCATCCTCGGCAATCGGCGGCCAGGGCTATCGCCCAGGGACAATCATTTCTTGTTGTATTTTCTTACATCCCGCAGGCTTCTTCGGATGAGCTCTTCAGTGGCACGGCGAATGTTATATGGGATACTTTTCCCAATGCCTTCAGCCCTCTAATACACTCATCCCGGGCGCAGATGTCAACGCTGAGTTAGGTCCCGAGGAACTCCAGCTAAAGTACAAGTACTTGGGAGATTTATCTTGCGGTGTGCGTGGGGCGAGGGGGGAGTGGCTGATCTACTTGGCTATGCAGTGCCATCTCTCCTTCGCTCGCGCGGTCTGCAGCCGCGCCGGTGCACCTGCGAGATATGCGCTTGGACCGGAGCAGCCTCTTTGTCAAGGATCGTCTATCGACAGGTTCTTGGCGTCTGCCGACCGGCGCTTCAGAGTCGAGCAGGTCCAAATAATTGATGCTGCGGCGACCATCGCGGACCATCGAATGATCATCTTGCAATGCGAACGTCAGCACGGGCGAGAATTGCAGGAAAAGATGCCCCTTGGATGGCTCGCGCAGAAGCCAAAGTTTGTCGTCTATCGCGCAGCGACGGAGCTCACCTCGGACAGGGCCCTCGAGGACATTTCAAATTCCATTGGGAAGGCTGCTTCGTCCACTGGGACGAGCATGAGCGCTCGGGCTGTCGCCCGCCAAGACCGCGTGCACCTCCATTCTCTGGAGCTGGCTTGGAGACCAGCTTCGCGGCAGGAGGAGAATCGTTTTTGGCGCCCGCAAACTGTGGGCTGAGAGGCAGCGCCCGCGCGATTTGAAACATCGGGCGCGGCCGCGGGCTGCGCTCGACAACTTGCGCGCCGGTGGCTGGGGGGAGAAGGCCGTTGGCCGCTCGGGCAGACTGGCCCGGAGTGATCCTGAAAAAGAAAATCGATCCATCGCGAGCCCCTCGGAGATTGTTGGTGAGGGTCAGACGTTCTATGGCGGGCAGCCCACTGAATCCCGTCTTAACCACCTCAACTTTTCCTCCTGGGTATACGGCAAGTTCGAGTTGGACAGCGCGTTCGACATCGCCCACCTTAAACGTGCTATACAATTTAAGCCGCGCGAGTCCTGTTGCTCGGAGGATATGGTTACAGCTGAAATGTAGCAGAATAGGAAACATATCGAGCATGGGGACATTGGAAGTAGGGCAAATGGCAGAGCTCGGCGTGACGACAGTCATGTTGGGTGTGGGTGTGTACTATATGACGCCGTGGGTATCGAAAAGGGTGCAACTTGTTTCATGGGCTGCTCCCTGGATCCTCCTCTATTGATGCTGAATGGCACGGGCTACTTCTCCTGCTTGAATATGTTATTGGATTTTCGGAATGAGGATGTACAGTGCGATGTCGCTATCGAGAAGGATTGCGCTACGGTCGTGAATCCACTGGCTGGTCTATGTTCCGTCTTAGGTAGTTGTACTTGGTCGTGTCGGGCTTCGGTGCTGGCTCTTGTCGCTCGATTAGGAAGGGTCCGCATTCGTTACATCCGTCGCTTCTATGAGAAGGTTGCAGATTTTCTTGACCATGCAGCTATTCGCATGTTCGGCCACAGTACTCCGATGACCTTTGGCTTCCAACATTAGTGTGCACGCGGTTGTCCATGTCTTGCGGGATGTTCGGATGGTTCTGCGCCTGGCAGAGGTGGAAAACTCGCTCTGGACATTGAAGCAGGCTATTGATCGAGATTTGCGTGGGGCATTCTCCCCAATCAGAGCTTGTCTCTGTAGGGGTCTGAGCGGATTCGCATGGGCGGGGTGGGGCGCCGATTTGGTGGCCGGGTGGCCAGGTGCCCGTGGGTGCCCGGTGCCCCAGAATTTCGGTGGCCGGCGGCCGGGTGCCCAGGTGCCGGGGCGCCCGCGGGTGCCCGGGGGTGCCCGGAGGTGCCAGGGGGCTCCCTGGTACTAGCCCTATAGCCCAATAGCCCGATAGAGCCCTGTAGCCCTATAGCCCTATAGCCCCAGAGCCCTAGAGCCCTATAGATCTAGAGCCCCATAGCCCTATAGCCCTATAGCTCTATAGCCATATAGCCCTATAGCCCTATGGTCCTATAGCCCCTATAGCCCAATAGCCCAGTAGCCCTATATCACTATGCTCCTATAGCCATATAGCCCATATAGCCCTATTGCCCCAGCAAAAAAAATGATGGGGTTTTTTTCCCGGTATCATTTTGTTAATGTGCCCCATCGTCTACAGCTGGATCAGACCCACGAGATATTGCGGAGTCGTCCGAGTTTGGCTGATATTTCTCTACGCGTTACCGCTCCTCGAACGGACGCCCAACGCACCCTCTGCGACCTGGCCCTGGTTCCAATGAAGGGCTTGATAACTTGGTTCGATGTTTTGAGGCCGCTTGCAGTCGTGCCTGCGCGACTGGAGATGGCGGGGGACGCTCTCGTAGAGGCGATCTAGGACAATATCACGGACAGTGTACCGGGGAAGTTTGCATTTCGCGAATGTCATAGTGTCATGGATCTGGTATTCATTATTACGGCGATGGCGCAGAAGTGCACGCTAGGTGGATTGGATATCGTTTGTGGCTCGGTGGATATACCGAACGCATTTGAAATTGTGAGCCATCTTAGAGCATCGAGATTGCTCCAGAGGCGAGGTGTTCCAGATGCTATTATTGTTTGGATCGTTCGACACTTGCTTTCCACGCGTTACAATGTGCGTCTTGTTGGGGACACGGTAACGACGACATAGATGACGCGCGGGGTTCTTCCGTGGCCGGCTTGGGGCCAATTTCTTTTGTTTGTCAAAATTGTTCAATCGGGCGGCCTCCATCCTGTTTGGCAGAAGTGCGTGGCGGATAGGCTCTGCGTTGCGCTGATTGATGCAACGTACTGTCTTCAACACTATTCGCAATGTGAAGATCATGCAACGCGAAGTTCCCCATGTAATTGTCTGGGGTGGTAATCTCTTCGTCTTGGCGAATACTATTGTAGATGCCAAGGGGATTTGGAAACGATGTCGTGCTGCGTTCATTCTAGTTGGCTGGGCTTTACCCGAAGAGAACTTTAAGGTAGTGGTCAAGCTTTGGCAGGCAGTTGAAATTCCACACGACGAACCCATGCAAATCAAAGGTGCGTAGATGAATGCACGCGGGCAGCTGGACAATGACTCCCGCACTAAGACCTTTACTGCATCTTCTGCGGCTGGTTTTGTGCAGCAGCTACTTTCAAGCCCGCCGATCACCAGGGTTCCCGTGTGAAACTCATTCATCGTACTATTTCCTCGATGTGCTTACGGCGTGCTCCTACTTGGAACTTGAGCAGAAGAGCGGCCTTGCCTCTTCGCGCGGCGCAGGCAATGCAACTTGCGAGATACATCAGATGGCCGAGCTTGCCCGAGGAGACGGTTGAATCTGAGTCACGTGCTGTGCGGCCCCAATCAAAAAAGCTGAAGGTCGCGGAGCACATCCTCGATTTAGATGCCATTGTTTGGCGGCGCCTCCACCGTTATGA